TTATATTTCTTTCCCACGCTTGCTTTATATCTCTAACTCGAGCTAGGATAAAGCTTCCTTGGTCAAAGGTGATTTTAACATTTGGAGCAAAGACACACTCACATCTCCATTTCCATATCCACCAGCACGCAACCGCAAAAATCAAAGGTCAATCCTCACTTACCAAAGGATGCCTATTATCCAAGTTTTTCAATAACCTAGTCACCAAATTGAGTGCCAAATAAGTCAACATCATTTGTCCAGCCTAACGCTCTCCACACAAGCACAGCAAGGGGGCAGGAACGAAGAATATGTTCAGCATTCTCTTTGTTAGCACCACACATTGAGCAACGAGGGTCATCGGCCATCTTGCGAATGAAGCGAGTACTATTCGACATAAGCCTATCTTGCACTGCTAGCCAAAGAAAGATCTTCATGCGTTGGGGAACTTTAAGCTTCCAAATTAACTTCCAACCTTTGACTTGCTCTACAGTAAGAGCATTAGCATTTTTCACAATCTGCAAAGCTGACCTGAGTGTAAAACTCTTTGACTTCGACCCATTCCAATAAACCTCATCCACCACTGTAATACCCCAGAATTTTCTTTCCTTTAAAATACTCCTTTTACTTTAAATAAAACCTTTTTTAGGAAATAACCAAAATATTACCGCCACCGTGATAACGGCTAAGGCTAGTTTTCAAAGTCTCACAGCGGAATTCTAAAACAAAAACCAACTTTTAAAAATAAAACTTAAAACTTGAGTTCACAACCTCAAAACAAAAGTAAAATAAAACATTCACAAGTTGGAACCAATTCAAACATATGGCCCTTCTTAAAAACCAATTTAGAACGAACATAATAATGTTAGTCCATAACAATAACCAATAACTCAATATATTAAAACTAAGAAACATAACAAGTAACTCTTTGCACTCTATCCCAACATGCTCTTCATGCTTCAAGTACCTGTTACTTCCTCTTTATTTCAACTCTCTACTCACCATAGAAATGGGTCATAGTAGGGCCAATTCAAAGGAAAGCCAAACACAAACACAGAAGTACGAATCAGCAAAGCTGAGTACATATGCACCACACTAACATGAATATCCTAGCATCAAAATAAAAATAATGATTAAAACATGCTCGCCACATAATCACAAGTCAACTTACCTTTGACTCATAACTAGCAATATTAATTATTAGTAATAATTTTGGATTACGCATCGAACGGGTTTTCTTCCTTGAAATTAGCCCATTTAAATATTGAACTTTCAATAAAGGAGTTACCCCAATTGGCACCTACTATATCACACTTGGTGACGGAATTCAAGCGCATTAATAATAAAAGAAAGTACAGCGTTCTGTACCCTTGTAGAAGCTATGGTGAAATATAAAACCCCACAACTCCCCCCATATATTCATACTCAAGGTATATACGTTCCAACAGTTTTGGTGTGTATTCTCTTACACTTTACGTGATTTGCCAATTTAACTTGTGATGATTCAAACCAATCAATCAAGAACAAACATAATAACAATCAATACATACTTCCAATTCATTCTTGAATTAATTAGTGAGCACATACTATTTATTTTAATTAAGGTTCCTTGCCTAGTTTTGTGCACAAAATTGCACGATTACTACGTTGGTGCATAAAATGCACTACTAAACTTCCTTGACTCAAACTCAACTTACTTGAGCGAGTAAATAAATAAATTAACTTCTTGACTCAACACCAATAATAAATGGGTGAGAAATAAATTCATGAATCATGCTCAATAATTCTAACTTTAGCTCTTTAATTCATATATAAGCCTTGCTTATTAAATTCATGCTTTCTTGATACTTGAAATAAAACATATTTCCATAATTCATACATATTCAACTTGTATCATGCCTCAAATAATATATTCACATGCTTGCATAACAATTCATGCTCAACCGACATCAATTCCAAGCATATAATCAACCAAACATGCTACTAATTCATCACTTAAATCATACTTTACAAATCCTAGCATGATACTACGCATACACAAATATTCTTGTGCACATACGTACCTTGAAAAATGCCTAAACTCGACCACACTCGCTAGAAATCACCTAGCTCGAAGCTTCCTACAAATAAGAATATATAACTATAATTAATCTATTATTCTCACAAATTTTCAGCAACTATAATACTCTTTAAACCTTACTAGTTAACCCAATTTAATGACATAAAAGCCATAAAATGTTTTCCTTTAAGTGGGTACTTCAAATCCTTTAAAAAAGACTCAATTTGTATGACTTAAATAAAATTCCAGCATACTTATTTAATATAAAACATCACTAATAGACTAGAAAATCATATTCAAATCATTAAAACCTTTTTCCCTTTTATGGGTAATCAAACCCTAAATCAATAATAAAAAAGTAGTGTGCATAGATAAATTTCAGCATTAATTTGAGGGCTCTAAACTCATTAAAAACATGTTTACACCATTAATTAAACAATAACATCAACCTAGGATCAAACCCTCACCATAAACATTAAATTCCCAAATTCTAGGGTTTGTAAATTGGGGTTTTTGATTGAATAAAAATCTGAAAATTTTATAAATGATTTAACAAGATCAAATACCCAAAATCAATACCAAAACATAATAAAAATCATGTTTTAAATCAATAAAAACAATAGAATTAAATTAGAAAGAGAAAAGAGTATTTTTTTTTTTAATTTTTTTAATAATAATACCAAAATCGAAAACCAAAGGAGAGAGAGAAGGAGAAGGTGGCCGGCGGGCTGCCAACTGCTGCTGCTAACGCCGGTGGTGGTGGTGGTAGGGCCAGTGCCTGCCGGCATGAGGGTAGGAAAAGAAAGAGAGAGAGAGGCGTGGGGAAGGCGAGGAAAAAGAAGAAGAAAAAAAGAGAGGAAAAATAAGGGAAAAGAGGAGAGAGAAATAAAGAGAAAACCTTTGAAATTTTTGTGAAATCTAACAATTATGATATTAGAATGAAAAATCTTGAGGCTTTGAAGTATTTATACTCTCCTTTTAAAACAAAAACTCATAATTAAAAAACTGTCATTACTAAATCCTACTTCCCCTTGACTTCTTCCTTTGGGGCCAACTTGTTGGGCTTTTAAGTGTCCTCAACAAGTTGATCCAACTATTTAAATAAAGACCACCTAATTCAAAACACTTTTATTGCCTCAATTAATGACCCATATTATATTCTGCACACTTACATAATATTTAAATAATTAATTTCTTTTTAAATTGAAATGAATCATTTTAATTTATAAAAATAAATAAAATAAATAATTTATATATATAAAAATTATAAAAATACGGAGTATTACAACCACTATCTCATCTTCAGCCAATTCGAAGGAAGCTATTTCTGCCAACACATAAGCAGGTAAATATGGGGCAAAAATCTCAAATTTCCATCTAATATTCACATCCCACATATCTCTAACTAAGAGATTTTGAATGTCAACGGGAGGGGGAGGGTCAGCATAATCTAGCAGAATATCTTTCGTAGCCCATCTCTGAGTCCAAAACGAAGTGTTCAAACCACTTCCCACAGCCATATTAATACCTTTCTTAAGCACATCCATACTACTAAAAATACCCCGCCACACATTCGAAGCACCAGCCCTCTCTTTAAACATGTTCACATCATATCTACCATCACATATTTGCTTCTAAGAACTCTTGCCCACAAAGATTGTGGTTCAGTTAGCATACGCCAGCCAAGCTTAGCCATAAATGCAGAATTTGTTTGTCTCATGGAGTGTAAACCCAGGCCCCCTTCAGATTTTGGCTTAGTGATTGTTTCCCACGCAACAAGATGAACCTTACGCTCTTCATTTGTTTCTCCCCAAAGAAACTTTCTCATTTTTCTATCCACATCATCACAAATCGATCGAGGAAGACGAGTAGTCTGCATAGAGTAGAAAGGGATCGGCAATAAGGAGGCTTGGATTAGAGTGGCCCTTCCAGCCACAGACAATGTCTTAGTTTTCCACCCAGCGAGCTTTGCATTTATTCTATCTAGTAAGTACTATACTGATAGTCTTTCTTTGAGGTTCTGCCATGAATAACAGGAACACCCAAATACTTTTCCAGGTCCTCGATTTCCTCCATGCCCAAACTCCTACACACCCCATCTCTAATTTCTGAATTAGCATTGGTCGAGAAGAAGACTCTTGATTTTTCAATACTCACTTTGCTGCCAGAGGCTTCCTCAAATCTTTCTAAGCATTCCTTCATCACATCCGCTTGATCAATGGAAGCTTCACAAAACAAAATCAGGTCGTCAGCGAACGCCAAATTCGTAATCACAAGACCATTTCTACACGCTCCCACAGGTCTCCAATTACCAGCCCGCACCTCAAAATTAATCAATTGAGCAAGTCGTTCCATGCATATTACATAGAGATAAGGTGACAAAGGGTCTCCTTGGCGAATACCACGAGTAGGACAAAACTCTTCCATAGGCTCACCATTCCACAACACCCTTAACTTAGCCGAATTAATACACCGCATAATTATCTCCACCATAATCTGAGGGATGCGCAACTCCATAAGCGACTCTTGAATGAATTCCCATCGCAAGCGATCATAAGCTTTCTTGAAGTCTATCTTCACAGCCATATATGCTTTTCCACTTTGTTTTCTTCGCATTGTTTGGATCTTCTCCTGGACTATCACAATGTTATCTGTGATTTGTCGTCTAGGAACAAAACTATATTGTGTTGGGGAGATTAGCGAAGGTAAAATCGGCTTGAGTTTATTCACAATCACCTTTGTAACCATCTTATAAATAATGTTACAAAGTCCTATGGGTCGAAATGGGTTAGCACGTTGAGGCACATCAACCTACGGGATAAGAACTAAGTAAGCATCATTTAAGCCTTCCGGGAACTCCTTTCCCTCAAGAATCTCTGTAACTAGCTTGGTTACACTCGGTTGGACAACTTCCCAATATATCTGATAAAATAAGGGCTGGAAGCCGTCCGGACCCGGGGCTTTACAAGCCTTCATAGACATCAAGGCCTTTTTTTATCTCACAGTCAGCATATGGTCTTGTAAGAATACTCCACTTATGAGCTTCAATGGCAGGGAACTGGTCAAGCAGCAACCTATAACCTGTAAACTCACGATTCTCATCCTGGAACAAAGAACGCCAATACTCCACAACCATAGACTTCACAGCACTCTGATCCGCAACCCACTTACCATCAGAATTTTGCAAAGTATTAATCCGATTCCTACGCCTTCAAATAACTGTCGATAGATGGAAGTATTTAGTATTACGCTCACCATCACAAATTGCATCCATCCTCGATTTTTGAAACCACAAAGTCTTTTCTTGATCAAGAATCACTAATTGCTTTCTTAAGTTTGCCTCGATTTTAATTAGGTGCAGAAAATGCCTCATAGCAAGTTCTCGTTGCACACCAGCAATCCTTGCCATCAATTCTTCTTTTTTCAGAAAATATTATGAAAAATATCTCGGTTCCAATCATTCAATTTTTCAGCAAACAACTTCAAAAACTGAACAATTGGGACATCATTTCTCCAATTTTGAATGACAAACTCTTCAAATTTTTCATGGTGTAACCATGCAGCTTGGAACCTAAAAGGTTTGATAGTTGTAGGGACTTGAGCAAATCCCGTAGTACTAATTAAGATCGGACAATGATCAGAGGCAGTACGGGGAAGATTCCGCAAAGCACCTTCAACAAAACGCAATCTCCATTCATCATTAATAATCCCCCTATCAAGCCTTGTAGAATTAAAAGTAGCAGGGGAGTTGCCTTGAAACCAAGTATGCTCTGGCCCCGAGCATCCCATATCAATAAAACCATTATTCTCAATCCAATTTGAAAATTCTCTACATCTTATTTGCATTTCAGAGCCTCCATTTCCATTTCTCTCTGACATACTCGCAGTATCGTTAAAATCTCCAACCATTAGCCATGGGCCAGTAAAAGAGCCTCGAATTCTTTATAATTCCCTACATAAATCCTTTCGTATAGTACTGTTAGGGCTAGCATAAATTGCGGAAAATAACCACGGCGTTTCCCCCCTCCTCGAGATTAACATAGTCAAGTGCTGAGAGTGACTACCATATGGCGTAACTGAAACCTCTTCATTCCTCCAAAACACCCATAATGCCACCACTAAATCCCTATGCCTCAACCCAAAGTTGACCAGAGAAATTAATTTTTTCACAAATTCTATCCGCATCCGCGCCACTCATATGAGTTTCCACAAGGGCCATCACCGTAGGTCTATTAATTCTAGCAAGTTCATGAATATCAGCTAACTTGTTACCTACTCCTTAAACATTCCAAACTAAAACTTTCATGGACATATTAAACATAGGAAAGTTTGGATAGGAGTCATACACACTCAAAGGAATGTTAGGCAGAAGTCTCACGAACTCCTCTATCAGAGCTCATATTGGACCAGCCGTCTCCATCGGAAGCTGGAATGTAGCCATCAAATCCGGAGGGAGGTACGCCGTCACTTGGAGCTCCACTTTGTTCACCAATGGATGAACTGACGCCATCACTAGAACCTCCATTGGGCTGTCTATGAACGTTTCGAACATCGGAGGAATACGAACCTCGAGAGTGATTGGCACATTTAGAGTCATGGTTTGAAATCACAAAAGAATCAGAAACAGGGGAATTTTCTTCACTTTGTTTCCGCAGCTCTAATGGGGTAGAAGATACAATTTCAATCAAATTTTCCTTCCCTATACTAGACAAGGAAGCACGGGAATTTTGAGAATCTTTTTTCTTAAAGATTTTATTCCCAGAAGATATCAATTTCTCTATTATACGGAGTAAGAGGAAATCGAGATATATTTTTATCTTTTTTAACAACCATCGAAATCTTTTCCTTGGCAAAATTATCTTTTCATTATTTGTCCCAAGATTACGATCTTCAGCATTTACAAAATTATCCTTAAAGAACTTCCCAAGTCAACATGTGACTCCTCCATGTTAGTGTCGACCTCACTGCTTGAGTTTGCCACTAGGATATCATTATCTTGGTCCATAAGTGCTTCATCCTCCCCCAAGTTCACTGCTTGTCCAGAAACCGTATTAGTTTCTTCATCCAATATCACTGTATGATTTCTACTCAACACTTCCTCACTGTTCTCATCAAGCATATTAGTTTCCTGCTCAAGAATGGCAAACCTCAAACCTTCCACTTGGTCCTCTACTCCATCCTTAGGCTTGTTACTTATGACCTAATCCTGTTGTCCTTTATTTAAATTTTTGTTGCCTTTGGGATCCTTACTACCCTTAGATATCCTTTCAGTCCCCTGCTTTGGGTTCTGTTTCCTATTAGTTCTTTGAACCAACATCCATGCCCCATATTTGTCAGTCTCTTCTGGTCTTTCTTCCACCTTTTTGAGGCTAGCAGACCTCTTGTCATGTTCGGAGAGATTCTCTTGAGCATTAGTATCAGTAGGAACTTGTCCCTCATAGCCCGTAAAAGCCCCACGTTCCTCCTCTTTATGCCCCAATTTACCACATTTAAAGCATATCATACGCAGCCTTTCAAATTGGATCTTCCATACTCTTCCATTCATTCTGAATTTTGAGAGTAAAGGCTTAGTCAAGTCCACTTCTATGCTAAACCGCACATATTGGCCTCGGTCTTTTGACTCAGTGTTACTATCAATTCGAATTACCTTCCCAATTTTAGACCCAATTTTGTATAGAAACTGCCTATCAAAGTATTCAACGGACAATTGAGGAATTCGTACCCACGCTGTTAAGCTTTTAATCGGTTCTCCATTAGGAACAAAGTTAGGGATCCACTTTCGAATTGTCAAGTAGCTATCCCTAATAATCCATGGTTCTTGCGTGAGGACATAATCATAATCCGCCATATTGTTAAATAAAAAAATATAGTAAGCAAAGCCAACATCAGTGAGAGCAATATTGCCCTTAAGATTCCATTTTAAACGGAAATTTTTCACCAAAATATCATAACTAAGCCTTCGGTCAAAAAGCTTGATAAATCAGGGCATGTTTCCATGGTTCACGAAGCCTTCGCTTTTCCTCCTTTGTCAATTTGAATTGTCGAGCAACTTTCATCCTCTGAATCACACTTCAATGGAATGTCATCATCTGAGATTATTTAAAATAGGAATGATGATATGCAAATTCAGAATAATCTATTTAAATTAAATTATTCGTAATTTTACGTGTCAAGTATATATACACATAATATATATGTGCGTGCAGTATATGTGCAATAGATGAATATGTTTTAGACTTTTAAGCCACTATGAGATTGTATAAAAATATTTTTCTAATAATTTAAAATATTAAATTTATTTATGTGTTAGAGATCAAATTATTTTTAATTGATTTGAAATCACTTGCTGAAAAGTTAGTTTTGTCATTAACGTGATGGGCTACCTATATTACATAAGTACCATCACTTATTGACACTCTTGAAGTATTGGGAATCCATTATCTCAATAACATCTATTAAAGGGTTATATATATATATATATATATATATATATATATATATATATATATATATATATATATATATATAAACTTGCGGGAAAAGTACCTGAACTACCTGTGACCTAGTGGACTTATACAACAATAAGTATCGGCTTCAGCTTTTTTTATGCGACCATTCGCTCCTCACTTAAGAAATGGTATTTTTACCTCACCATTTCTTGGATTGTACCCATTTTTTGATAAGATTTTAGGCCAAAAATAATGTTTTAAAATTTTATTCAAGGAAAATAGATCAAATATCAAATCAATTGATTTTTATTTATAAATGAATCACTTCCAATTAAGTGATGGATATGAACATGTGGTAGAGAGCAATATACATTTCTTTTTCTTGTATATGTTTGTTTTTAGCCCAATTAGTCTCGTCGTTGTGGATGTCGTAACTTCCTTCACATTCGCTCGTGTTGGGAGGACTCTTCACTTGGAAAGGTATGTAAATTTTATACAAGTAATTTAACAAACTATAATGAGTTTACTTATGGTTTTAACACAGGTTGGGAGAAGATAGTGATGGTGTTCTTGTAAAGGGGATTGTATAGTAATGTCGTGATAAGAGGTGAAAAAAGGGGAACTATTACCCTCATATTGGGTAATAGTTATATTAGGAGGAGGGTGATACTATGTCAGAATTAGCATTTTATAGCGTTATTTTTATAGCGGTTTTGTTACTTCCGCTATTAAAGGTGTCAAATTTAATTAGCTTATTATAGTGGTTATAAAATAAATACTAAAGTATGTTATCACAATTATAACATTTACTTATAAACCGTTATTAAATCCTATTAAGAAGTTATAAGCCTCCCTTCTTTCCCTGGTCTACTCCAGTTTCATATTTCCTCGCAAAACCATGTATCCCTCTTTTAAACTTCGCACCCAAATTCTACAAATAAACACGATTTCACGTGTACTCGATTTTATCGCAATTCCTATTCATTTAAATTGTGCAATATCTATTTTATGAGAGTAATGATCCCTCCATTTTGTTTTTGGGTTCCTCGTGTTACAATAATCTTATTTCATTTGTAAACACAATTACTTATAATCTTCCTAATTTGATTTTTATTACCCCTTAATACATTATTCCCAATCTAAAATTGGCCTAAATATAAAGATTAAAAAGTAACATTAATTAGGTAGTACTTCCTCCGTTTTCGTAATAATCGTAACACTAGGCTATATGCACAAAAGTTTAGGAAAATTATATGGTGGGACCAATAAAAGATTTTTTATATTACAAAGTATAGTTAGTACTAGTAGGAGTGAAAATTAATGGAAAGTAGTGTAAGTGGAGTTGGTAAAAGAGAAAAATAATAATTTTTTTTTTTTTGGTGTTTAGAGAGCCACAATGGCGGATGATGAGAATCGATCCCAAGATCTCATGGAATCGGGAGAGAAGCTCTGACCACTTGAACTATTCTTCACTCTCATAAAATATTTATGAAAGTAGGGTTAGTGGGAAAGAGAAACAATATACTTCGTAATAATTTTCTTCTAAAAAAAAATAAAAAAAGAAACAATATAAAAATAGCACAAATTTTCATATGTGGCTGGACACACCGTGGGGTTGGGGTTACTTATTCAAGGGAAATATTTAGGCCAGGGGTGAGTCGGTTGGTCAAGGGTTATTTGGTCAAGTATTACTCGGTCGGTCATGGGTTACTCAATTGGTCAGGGGTTACGCGTTAATGTTTTGATGTGTGTCAACCGACCACATGGTGTGACCAACCACACAGAAAACGCGCTAACCGACCGAATAACCTAAGAATAAGTAACCCTTGACCGACCGAGTAACCCCTAAATAAGTAATTCCGGCCACACAGAAAACGCACTAATAATAGTGACACTTTCCAAATAAGAAAATGTTGTAATGATTATAAAACAACCATTAAAAAAAAAAAAAAAAAAAAAAAAAAAAAAAAAAAACCCGGCTATTTCACCAAATGCCACTGAGCACTTTAATAATTCACCAAATGCCATCAAAGTTTTCAAAATTCATTAAATGCCATCGAGTTTTTAAAAAATTTACCGGGTGCCATTAATAACTAACGGTCGTTAACTCCGTTAGCCATTAGGGTTTAATCATGACACATGTCATGATATGATTGGTTTAATTTAAAAAAAATCTTAAAAAAAAGAATAAATTTTAATTTTTTTTTTTAAATTCCTAACCCTAACCCAGCCCCACCACCAACGCTGCCGTTGCCGGAAGCCCAACCCCAGCCGCCGGTACTCCCTGCCCCACCTTCACCGTCAAAACCAGCCCAACCACCACCCCTAAAACCAGTGACTTAGCGCCTTCTGCTTTTTCCCCTCACGAAAAAACATCCAGCGTTTTCCGACCACCGCGCAAAACCACCCCTCCTATCCTCCACCCTTGAAACGACAAAATCGACCATTCTGGATTTCCAT